CAAGATCCTGTGGGACTTCCAGATACAGACTGACAGAATGGTGATGGCGAACCAACCAGACATAGTGGTGGTGGATAAGAAACAGAGCAGAGCCGTGGTGGTTGACATCGCAATACCAAGCGATGGTAATATCAGGAAAAAGGAACACGAGAAGCTAGAGAAATACCAGGGGCTCAAGGAAGAGCTGGAGAGAGCCTGGAAAGTAAAGGCATCAGTGGTGCCTGTGGTGATCGGAGCACTCGGGGCTGTAACCCCCAAACTGGAAGAGGCTTCAACAGATACCGGGAAAAACAATGGACATCTCAGTTCAGAGAAGTGCAGTACTGGGAACAGCAAAGATACTGCGCAGAACTCTCAGGCTCCCAGGCCTCTGGTAGAGGACCCGAGCTCAATGAGGGTGAGAGACCTACCACCGTGGAAGGTGAGAAACACATTTTTTTTTTTTTTTTATATATATATTACATATATATATATATCTCCCAACACATCATAGGCAGACTTAAAAATATAGCCATAAAACCTTCGAAACAAAAACACATTGACTTTACTGCAAAGATGTGCTGCCTAAATATTATGAAATATTATAAAATGAAAAGGTGAGTCATTGTTGTCACTTTTAGTTTTGCATTTATTTTAGGGCTGGGCAAAAATTTTAAAAAATTTATCTCATTAATCGCATGAGTTCAAGTGCTATTAATCACATGTTATACGCAAAACCAATTAATGAATTAAAAAGTAGAGTATAGCTGCACTTTTATTGGAAATGTAAATGAAAGAGTCCAACATTTGTTGTGCAAACAGCATTTCTTTCAGAGTTGAACCCTCAGAGTCTTCGAGGTGTTCAGTGAAGGCTCAAGAAAAAATACTGAATGGACTTTTGTACTACTAATATATTTTTTCTACCTTTTTTACGCAGTGAGTAATGAACACGACACTAGTAATAATTTCTACATCATTGTTATAAACTTGAACTGATATTTCTTAGGAAACAAAGGGCTAATATAATGGAATGGAAATGGACCAATCACAATTTTTCATCCAATGATATCTGGGTAAATCAGTGATTCCCCCTGCATCACTGAACTAAAGAAACAAGCTCAGCTCAGAGCACACGGCTGATCCGGCCGGAGCCGGAGCCCGCGGCCGGAGCCGGAGCCCGCGAGCCGGAGCCGGAGCCCGCGGCCGGAGCCGGAGCCCGCGGCCGGAGCCGGAGCCCGCGGCCGGAGCCGGAGCCGCGGCCGGAGCCGGAGCCCGCGGCCGGAGCCGGAGGCCGGGCCTGCAGCTCGCGGAGGCTCGGACACATTGCATCTCACATGGTCAGAAAAAAGTGAAAAAAGTGTAAAGACGTCAAACTTAAAGAAACGCTCACGGTGGACTTTTTCAAAATAAAATCCAATGAGAAACAGACATTTATAATAAAAATAAATAAAATAATAAAAACTGCGTTAACAGCGTTAAAATAATTGTGGGTGATAATGAATTAATTAGTTAACGCAAAATTAACACGTTAACGTGCCCTGCTCTAATTTATTTATTAAACCTTGTTTAAGTCTTTGACGTGACCACTTGGTGCTGTGTGGAGCGTCCCCCTCCCTCTGTCCCGCGTGTCTCGGTCAAACTGATTATAAAGGAATTTCAGGGGAATCTTAGGGAAATCTCATTCTCGAGTCACTTTACATGCTCCTTTTATGGTGAGGTGGAGGTGTGGAGAGGGTGTGACGTGACGTGGGTTTGCGTGTGCTGATTCTAGCAGCAGGTGGGATTTATAAAGCAAACATTACGTGATTTGGTGCGGGTGGTGGGTTTTCTAAATATGGAGTTTTCGTGGCGCACGCCTCTCGTACCTACTAGGCGTACGCACTAACTTACAACAACTCCTATGCAGTTTTTTTTTTTATAAATGAGGCCCCTGCTCTGCAGAAAGGGACAGAGCAGGCTGTACTTTCTCAGAAGGCTGAAGTCCTTTAACATCTGCCACAAGCTCCTGCCGTGGATGTGTAAGCTGCAGAGGAAGACTTTTTAAAGACCTTTTTAAAACCACTTAAATGAAAATTAAGACCAACATCGCACCCATTATGTGGGCGAAAAACACCAGATCCACTTCTAATAATGACCAATTAACTACTAGGTCTAGAATCTAAGAGCCACTGTGGATCAAACCTACACTTCCCCATGATCCATCCAACAACTTCCTCCACTCTACTGATTATTTGGTTTCTGGCGCCGGCAGCAATGAGTAAACAAAGTATTGTTTGTGCATACTCCAAATTAGACATTCATTCACGTTACTTGATTTCACGTTTTTTTTCCCCCTCCCTCTGTTTAACATTGCACTGCAGCCCAGTTGAGTATACAAAAAAAATAGACTAATGCAATTTAAACCTTTGTGAAAAAAATAAGACTTGGACAACATAATTTAAGATTTTTTAAGGCCTTAATTTAGGAACATGAAATTTAAGACCTTTTTAAGACTTTTAAGACATCTCGGCTACCCTGTATCCATCCTTGATGACACCCAGCACCCCCAGCACAGCACATCGCCGGACAGGAGAGCACCCTTGGGGACTGTTGTTCTTGTCCTGCTCATTGGACACACTCTGGAAGTTGCTCATGTCATGTCATGTTTTCATTTTAGTTTGTTCATGCCCTTTTCTTTGTTCATTGGTCTTGAGCAGAATTAGGTAGTAGTACTTCAGTAACCTTTCAAATAAATTGTACTTTTCAGAGTACTTTTCCAGCACCTCCTACATGAGTAACACATGGGTGACAGTAGTTCAGCTCATTGTGTCCTGGAGCAAGACATTTAACATCTCGTCCCCTGCGTCTGTGTGAATGGGTGAGTAGGTTCAACAATCACAACATGACCACTTAATTTGACCATTTTTATTGAAGTATTCAGATTTAGTGTGTCTCATTTTTGAGTCAAATTAATGTTTTGTCATTTTACATTAACTTCAAATTTTAAAACACGCTGAGGTCAGTTACTCAGTTGCAGTTACTCTTACCTGAGAAGTAGTTTTCCCAAATACTTTTTTACTCTTGAGTAATTTCTCAAATAATATTATTTTGAAGTAACGTTAATTACTTACCTTTAGCTTTGAGTGTCAAAAAAGGTGCCTAATATATAAAATTTATTATTAATCGTATTATCCTACATCAAGTTTATTTTTTTGCATGTCTTTCAGCTTCTTCTGACATAAAAATGGTTATGTCATATTGTGTAAATGAACAGTAAATGATCTGATGACTAAACCTATCTTGTCTTGTCATATGGCAGTGAGCTTTTCTGACCATGACACTCCAAACAGTGTAGTGTGTCTCCCTCTTGTGTTCAAATGGTGAACTACATCTTAAAATTTAATTACTACAATGTCCCACATCAAAATCAATCAAAACTTTATTTATAAAGCACTTTTCATACAAAAATGTAACACAAAGTGCTTTACACAGATTAAAAACAATCCCACATTTCCACCCACCCACCAACCCAACCCCCACAGCTGCCCGACTCGACACAACCAAACAACACAGACACCCAAACACCCAAACACACAAACACCCCCCCCACCCCACACACACACACATACACACCCACACACACATTAACCTGCTAAAATACATAAAATGACACATAGTAAAATGTGAGGCTGAATACAGGCGAACCAGTTGAGAAAGCACCATCAGAGGAGCCGTCTACATCAGGAGCAGAGAGACGTCCACCACCACCAGGAACCACCACAGGGCCCAGGGGAGAGATGAAGCCCAGGCACCATCCCTCCACCAGGAACCCACGGGACAGACCCGACAGCTACAGCCGATCTCTGCTCCTGATGCAGAGGCTCCTACAGAGGAAACACTGCAGATCCTAAAAATAAGCCTAAAATAAATAAATATAATTAAAATGTGTATAGTAGAAACAAGTAAAAAATATGATATTTCATTCAAAAGCTAAGCTAAAAAGGTGGGTCTTGAGCCTACTCTTAAAAACATGAACGTTCTCTTTGGCCTTGAGCTCCTCCTGCTGCAGTTCCATAGACGGGGCCATAATACTGAAAAGACGCGTCTCCGTGAGTGCGTCCTGACTTTGGGAATGACCAGGAGCCTGCTGCCGGAGGAGCGCAGGGTCCGCGAGGGTTTGTAGGGTAAAAGCAGGTTTGAAAGATAAGAAGGCCCAAGACCATTAAGACATTTAAAGACCAGTAAAAGAACTTTAAAAATCGATCCTGAAACTCACAGGGAGCCAATGCAGTGATTTTAAAACCGGTGTAATGTGGTCCCGCCCTCTGGTCCTCGTCAGGACACGTGCGGCAGACTTTTTGTAGTAATTGTAAACCTGAAATACTCTTCTTGGGAAGACCAGAGAGCAGGGCATTACAGTAGTCTATTCGACTGGTGATAAATGCATGCATCAGCGTCTTGGTGTTGGCCAGAGAGAGAATGGGGCAGACTCTGGCTGTGTTTTTTTAAGTGACAGAAACATGTCCCTCAGTTTACCTTTGCTTTATAAATGACTTATTTACACTTTCTACCAGTTGTTACCTTAGTTTTTTGTCTATTTAAGGTCATTAAATGTGATAAAACTTTAATTTAATCACCAGTAGATTTCATTTTTAGTTTGAAATGAATCAGTTTGTGCTCTTTCTGCTCTAGTCTGTGACACATTTTAGTCTGCTAATTAACACATATATAAGCAAACAAAAAAACACCTCGTTTCAGGGCGTAAACAGCATATCTTATTAGATGTTGTCTGTTACTTTTGTGTACACAGAATTCCAAAGGCGTCTGACTGGTTTTTTGAATGCTTACGTCGATAGAAAGGCTTTCAGTGGTCACATGACAATAAGAATTGGCACATCTCCTCTGTGGGAGGGAAACACTCAGCCCATATTTCCCTGTGCACAGATGGACTGGAGTGTGTTAGATCACGGCTAGATGGACTGGACAAAGAAATCCAAGGATCAAGTGCAATAATGGCATTTAATACATACATAAAACCAGTACAATGGTATGAAAAGATAAAAATAAGTTGTCAATCATAAAAATGAAGATATCTGTTTGCAATTGATAAATATTTGTGATCGAAATTAAATGTATTGATTTGAAATGTTTTCAATATTACAAACTTAATTCTAATGAGCTTTAAGTCATGTTAGAATGTTGTTACCTCATAACAAAAACAGACCTGGAGTTGTGTTTTGTTTCATTCACACATGTTTGAGTCACAATTTATTATCAGTCCGTGTACATCTCCAAAGCTCAGAATGCTCTGTTCCACCTTGTGATGTCATATAGTGGTAGTTTTCAAGTTAACAGCTCCTTTTATCTTTACCCAGGGCTGAAATTACCTAAGTGATTCTAGTGAAGGTGTGTGGAGTTAAAAGACACAATGGGTCACATCCTGTAGGATGACATCACAAGGTGGAACAGATTGTTTTGAGTTTGAGAGAAGAACGCAGCATAAATATGCAGGTTTGTGTGTTAAACGTGTGAATGAAACAAAACACAACTCCAGGTCTGATTGTGATGAGGAAACATTATTACGTAGATCAGAAAATAGAGTAATATGGGTCCTTTAAAGTAACCATCAGTGTTAAAATATTGTTTGTAAAAGGGGGCAGATAACATCTTTCTGCTCATTTTTATTCATTCCTTTTACTTTGTATTTAAAAAACAACAACAGCACATAGAAAACATTAATTTCAAAAAGAAAAGCTGCACTGGGCCAGATTTAGCTACAAGCTACTTTGTATCTGCAGTCCCTGTGCAGGTACTGAACATATGGTTTAATTTTTATACTTTATCAATGAAATAAAACTGAAGAAGCCCCCAGCCTATTTCAGAACAGTTGGACCAGGAGTTTGGTGATGAGGGAGATCTCATGAGCCACACACACAAAGATGAAGCTACTGACCAGGATGTTGAGGGACGGGTTTCTCGGGATGAGCACTAAGATGCCCTTGGTGTCTGCTGCCAGAAAGATGTGGTACTGACAGATGAACAGCTGGGCACACAGCACATTTTGGGGTTAGTTTTATTCTTCTAGGAACAGATTTGACACCCTGGATCTTACCTCCAAAGAGATTTGCCCAAACCAGGCAAAAAAGGAGCTGTAGACAGAGCGAGCAAAGCCAGGAATGTTCCTGATGAGGATGAAGGCCAGAATCTGAGAAGGCACAGGAGCAACACAGAGAGGTTAATACTAACTTTACCCTATTGACTTTATTCAAATGAATGTGTGCAATATGACAACTACAGTGACCTCAGAGGACAAATAAAGATGAAATCAGTAATATCATCTCTACTCTGTTTGGAGGCTAACATCACCTACCGGAAGCACAGACATGTAGGGGTGAATCTCGTTGCACTGCTCTTTGGTTTGGCAGTTGCTGGCCCAGACTGAGTATGTCTAAAGTAAAGAGGACACAAGATGTTAGGAAGCCTTCACTTTGCTCTGAGAAGCACTAGTGTGTCAGGTCTTCATCCAGCATGAACTACAGCAAGAGTCCAACACTTACAATGAAACAGAGTCCAGACAGGAGCAGCAGGGGCAGGGAGACTTTAGCTGAGAACAGAGCTTCTCCTCTGGTCTCCGACAGCACCTGTTTCTTCTGAAGGAGCAGATAGAGGAAAGCAAACACCATCCCATGTACCACGGCCTGCAAACACATGGACATTCACATCCACATCCAGTGGAACAGAGCAGTTGTGGAGCTACAGCACCAATGCACTTACAAACCGATCCAGTCTCCAGCGGAACCACCACTCCTGGATGTTGCCATTGAGTTCAAACAACTTCGAAAGTGGCCACGATGTGAAAGTGATCTCAAACACGCCCTGCACATTTGAACAAACATGTGTCATTCAACAGCTTTCCAACAGTGTTGAGGACATGTGCCTCTGGAGGGACTGTGCTGTTACCTGTGAATAGGCAAAGAGGCAAATGAGCAGCACGAGGCCCACTAACTTGAGCAGGATTCCCAAGTACCACAGGGCACTGACTGTCAGAGAGAAGAACACATGTGAGGGAGAACCACGGGCACATTTGCAACATTAAAGTTGTACCTACTGCTGACTTTCTTCTGCACAATCTGAGGCCACATGGCCAGAACAATGTAGATGATCATAAACCAGAACGTCACCAGAGGAACGAAGTAATAGAACTGGTACGGCCTGTCCATCACCGCACACAACACCAGCACCAGGAAGTTGAGGCGGAATAGCACCTGCAGCACAAGCACAGTCATGCTGGTGCTGTAGGAGCACAAAGCATGGAGGATGTAGAGCTGCACTCACCTGGCACACTCTGTACAGGCCAAAGTCCCCTTTGAGCCAGAAGAAGGAGAAGTGTCCATAACCTGTTTGGAAGAGATAGGCTGCCACCAGCACACGCACATGCATGTAAACTGGAATGAACTGAGACACACAAGAAGAATCAACTTTTGCTTTGAGACTACACAGAGAATACAGAAGGAAACAGGATTTACAGCACTGGCTCCTGAAATATGATAGATGAGAATGACCAACTGCATCCAGCCCTTCCACTCATCTGTCTGCTCCCTGTTCAGCACACGGCTCTGGGACACAGCACACAGTGTCAAATTGTGTCAGAGGAACCAGGGTGGTGTGCACAAAGTTCAGAGAAAAGCAGCTCCATGTGTAGAAGGACACAGGCCTGTGCTCACCTCTTTGGTGCTCTCACTGCAGAACAATCCCAGCACAAAGACAATGATCAAAGGGACGAAGAAGGCAGAGTGACTGTAGGATTTCTGTTCCTTCATAAACACATCTGCTCTGTCACACAGGTAGAAGTAGACCATGATGAGTCCCATTCTGCACAGGGCCCCACACACTGCCTCGGCCCCTGGCTTCTTCTCCTCTAAACTCTCCAGGTCAGGGACCATGGGTCGCTGATGGGGTAATTTCCTCAGAAAGTTCAACAGCAGAAAAACTAGAGTCGTGACTACAAACACACACAGCAACATCTTCTGCAGAAAAGTGAGCGGGGGCGTGTTCTGGCAGCAGGAACCATCAATGGGCCGGATCACTTTATTACACAGACTGTTCATCAACACCATGGCCCCCTGTGAACACACATGCAGGTTAGAAACACTCTGAAGCTGCGTTCAGACCGAACACAGACCAAATAAAAATATAGTTTTATGCTTTTGCAGGTACATTACATTTTTTTATTTTCGTCCATATACATACACAAACCCAGTCATTTAAAAGCAGAAATATGATTTGGGTAAATGAAAATGAAGTTTTAACAGCTTACTATAGTTTTTAAAATGTACATCAGTCACATTATTCTATATTATTGTTTCAAATCGGGATCGGAGTTAAGTCGAATAGATTTGAAGGAAATTTTTCTGTTTTCTCTCCACAGCAGTACATTTTCTGATACATTTTGAAACATTAAGACTAACTCTGGTGTGTGAAATATCAACTGTCCGATCCAGCTTCCCATCTGTGTGTAATAAACTTCACTCTGGAACATGTTTACTTTGTGCATGGAAGTCATGTGGACAAAGGGCACAGTAGCCTTCGCTTGCCTTATGTTTAGATCATGGCAAAACCAGATAAACTGCTGCAGATAATTTACATATGTATATAAGCATGTGGTCTTTGAAATAGCCCTGAGACAAAACAAGGGACTATGAGGATTAGTCAGTCAGTGGCTCTTAGTTTTCATACTCTAGCCTGTCTTAATTCTGTTCTCCTAACACCTCGTTACAGATGCACATGGCTAATTTGCATATCAGTATATCTGTTACAGGCTAAGCATCCCTTCCTCCTTGAAAACAGCCGCCATTATTCCTATTCCCAAACAGCCAACCTCGACTGATCAACAACTACAGACCATTGGCATTTACGCCTGCAGTGATGAAGTGCTTTGAAAAACTGGTTCTGCATCATGTTTGAGCCAAACCCTCCGACTCCCGTCAGTTTGCTACAGAGCTAATCAGTCAGAGGATGCCATCATATGCAATCCACACTCACTCAGTCATCTAGACCAGCAGCAAAGCTGTGAGGATGCTCTTCATAGATTTTAGTTCAGTCTTTAATACAATCATGCCAGCAATGCTGACAAGAAAAATGCTCCAACTGGGCTTTCTCCCTCCATCTCTACCTGGATTTAGAATTTTCTTTCAAACAGGTCCCAGTTCAGCAAGCTTGGCCCCCACACTTCCAACATCATCATGCTGCACACTGGGGCACCTCAGGGGTGTGTGTTGAGTCCAATCCTTTACACACTATATACACACAACTGTACCTCCACCCATCCCACCAACACATTCATAGAATTCGCAGACACAGTGGTCACTGGATTCATCATCAATGAGGGTGAATAAGCTTATAGAGATGATATTTAAAGGCTGTCAGAACGGTGTTCAGCCAACCGTCTGGTCTTAAATTACACCAAGACCAAAGAGATCATTTTGGATTTCCGAAAGTAGTGTGCCTCAAATCTGGTTCCACTCTACATTAATGGCGTATGTTTGGAATGAGTGAAAGATTTCAAATACCTTATTGACCATTAGAGTGAGGACCTCTCCTGGTCACCTTTGTTAAAAAAAATGTCTCAACAGCAGCTTTACTTCCTCTGAGTATTTAAGAGAAACAACATGGAGGAGTCTGATGATTTAATTTTACAAACTGTCAGTTGAATCTATCTCAGTTTGGTTTGAAGACTGCTCAGCTGCGGACAAAGAGAGCTGCAGATAGTTGTTAAAACTGGAAACCACCTGACCCCACTGAAAGACACTTCCACTTCATTTTACCTGAGCAGAGCAAACGCAAAAGTCTCAGACCAGTCCCACCCTGTTCACCTGCTGTTACCCTCAGGAAGGCGGTACAGGTCGATAAAAACACGCATTGCAAGACCAAAAATAGTTTTTTCCAACAGCTATCAGTGTGCTCAATAATTCCCTGCCATAAATGTTGTGTCTTTCATATGTAGCATAGTCTTGGTTTCACTGTGTTGGCTTGATTGTGTCTGTGTACACTGGAGGGAGGTGCCAATTGTAATTTCACTGACTGATTTTTGTTGTCATTGAATGAAGGAAACAATCAATCATAACATATGTAAAAACACAGATTGGCGCTAAACTTTCTGGTTGTGTTGTGGCGTTTGCTCAGATACTTTCTTCCTTCAGTCACACTTGTGCTGAAGACAGAGAGAGACAGACAGAGAGAGAGAGACAGACACAGAGAGAGACAGCGCTGTTGCCTGGGGTTCTGTGGCCGTGTTCACACTTGCACGGCCGATGGCGTCATCACACAGCGCTGTTTGATGAACACAAAATAAACAGTGCTGTTGCGCAGCAGAGCTGACGCTATTGACGGGAGAGGTTCGTCCAGCTGAAGTGAAGTGAAGTGTGAAGTGTCTCTTGAGTGGTGGGACCACCTGTGAGGCTTCTGTCATCTTGTTTTTATTTGGTAAGATTTTGTATTATTTGGATATGATAGACAAGCCTAAATGTTTTAAATGTAATGCATAGGCTTCCTTAAAATAACAAAATATACAAACTATAGTGAGAGTCTAGTCTCAGGTCTGATCTGATTCTGGTCTGGTTCCTGTTTTGTCCAGTTCCTTAAGTTTACTAAGTTACACATTCCAAGACCAGACTGTGAAAAGTCAAGATTTTCAACAATGAGAATGAATGGTTAGAAAAGTTAATGAAATTAAAGTTTTGGACATTTGATTTTTCACCCTATGTCCCCCATGTCAGGGTGTTGAACCCGCATCGCACGCATTAGAGACTATTGACTAAATACAGTGAGCTACACTACCTCACCTGAGTCTTTTGACCACATGTTTAAATGTACCAAATGCAGCGGCAAACGTGCCTCGTGAACAGAGCGTCTAGAAGCCGTGTGGGGCTCTCAAGGGGAGGGGTGTGTAAAACACACCTTTGCAAATACCGGTATATTATCCACTGGACCACAGACTCACTGTATAAAATAAACAGATTATTTGTAAGACAGAAGATGCACGCAAACTGAGTAGTAAAAATATTATGAAACTCTTTTTGAAGGGGTTTGGGTGGGCCTAGGTCTGTGGGGGGTGTCGCTAGCAAGCATTTTGGGTCAGTTGAAATCATAGACAGTATAAAAGAAGTGGACTAAATGAGTGTGATGTCACCCATAGCGTTCAGTGGCGCTCAAATGAGGCTCGGGATGCTCACGGTTATAGGAGCGAATGTGGAGCCAGGCTCTCTGTTATGAATCTGATTTTTTTTTATGGACAAAATAGGGGAAAAAAAAAAATCAGAATCATGTAGAGCGGGTTAATGTGAGTATTTTAAAGTCTAAAATGACGAGGCTCACTGCAGCAGGTACAGAGAGAGGAGCAACAAGATGTAAGTCAGTTGGAGCCAGAGTCAGAAGGAGCCGGAAGAGCCTCCTGGAGAACTTCTTATTTGGCACACAGCAGTTAGCTAGAGCGTTAGCTATGTTCACTCATATATATGGTCTATGGTTGAAATGGAAGACCGGGGGAGAGGGGCCTGCCTGCACCGGCCCAAATGTGGACTCACTGGGCCTTTGCCCAAGCATACAGACTGCCAGTCCGAGTCTGTCCGCACACCAGTGCAGGACAGTAGGTTATCAAACTGAGCCTGGGACAAAGGTGCCGCTGAAAGCGGTTGTCATCCAGATGGAACTCCAGGAAAAAGTGATGAAACATAGACATGCCACCAAAGATCACCTCCACTTTTATATAATAAATACACTAAAGCCTCTCTCCTGGACTGTCATCATCACAAAGAGACGGGGAAAACACACCATCCAAAAAACTCTCATAGATGGACATGGACACCCTACAGGTGTCTGCCTCAAACACTAAAGTGTCTAACACCATTTCGAAGCAGCGGTCTGAATGCAGCACAAGCCTCTCATTCTCCAGGGCTGTAGAGGAAACTTATTGACTTCTGTTGTCTGTAGAAACTCAACATAAGTCCACAGCATCAGTGTGACTGTGCAGCAGCAGCACAGGCCTGATCATGCCCTGAGCTCAGACTTCTCACTGGACTCTTTCTTCCTCAGAGTGAAGCTGCAGGGAGCAGCAGAAACTACTCACCAAGTCCCGGACTCTGGGAGCCATGTGGAGCCCATCAGCAATGTCACTGATATTCTGCAGGCCCATCTGACGGGACCCTCCAAACAACTTGATCCGGGAGTTTCCTGTTTTGAAAACCTCGACTGCAGCTTCGTTGTACAGATCAATCTGTTCATTGGTTATTTTCTTCTGACCTGGATTTAATGCTGACCATCGCACTGGCTCTGCAGGAAAACAGGCAAACACATGTGTATTGTTAACACATTTAATCTACACCAGGGCTCGGCAACCTTAAATACTCAAAGAGCCATTTGGAGCATCTCCCACAGAAAAGAAAAACAGCCAGAGCCACAAAACCGTTTTCACTAGCTAGGACCACACCAACAAGGACATAGTGCGAAGAAGTTTATTGATAATGTATGAAGTGAGGCAGAGATAACTGGGTTGAGACTCTAGGTGGGGGCTCCGTCTCAATCTTCAATTGGCCCAGCTGGAACGGGACCCCCAAAAGGTTTAAAAGAATGCAAGATAGGATGGGCTAGACAGAGATTGTTGAGGTCATAACGAACGTAGGTGAGATAGGCGCTGGAGGCCCAGTGACCGAGGATCTGAATTTTCTGTCAAATGTGCCTGCGCCGATCCAGAAAGAGTGGATGGAAAATGAATGTGAAGATATGCTGGAGGGCATAGAACTTATCAGAAATGTTACTGAACCAGAACCTGGAGGCCATCTTGCCCATTTCTGTGAGGAAGAGCCGATCGACGGAGGAGGAATCGGAGGCGTGACGTAAAGAGATACTTTACGAAAGGTTCACGAGGACTTATTGGTGGATAAGGAAGGATTATCCCAACTGGTCTGTTATTCTCCTACGGAGAGTGAATATGAGCAAAGACCGTAGAATGTAAGGCGAGATCAGAAGCCTGGGATGGACAAATAGTTCGAAAACGATTGGCGATAAGAGCGAATTTGGAACAAGAATCGGAAGACTGAAGAAGGCTGTGAGGAACATGCAAAAACCAGGGTGGCTTAGTCCTACTTTAGTTGTGGTGTAGTCCTGGTTTAATCTTGGTTTAGTCCTGATTTAGTCTTGACCCGCCCACGTGTAATTACTACCCACCCGCATACCTGCCCGTAAAATTCCAGAACGTTAAATCCCACCTGTTTCAGCAACTACTTGCCCGAACCCAACCCAGTACAGGACTCTCTTACAGCCGTGTTACTTGTACCTTCCTTCAGCATGTCCAGAATCTATATTATCTTAAGAATCTAATTTTTCGATTATCCAGTTGGGATAAATCTTCTCTGTCCACAAATGATAAAATAGGCTGAAGCTCCACACAAACCTCAATGCTGCTCTGGTCCACCCAACTTACTGTCCATCTGGTGCATGCCAAGATGGATTCTCATGAGTTTGTGAACTCACCAGGTTTGTAAGAATATAAGCTGACCTTGAATGTGCCAGTAGACCTCTCCATGCTCAGCCAGGCCCTCCAGAGACGCAGACATAGACATCAGGTTTTCTTTGTACTGGTGCAGCGCTTTTGCACTTGCATGGAAGTCTTTGATGGTCCACTGATTAAAGACGACACAGGATTTACAGGAGTTATCATAGGATTCTTTCTAAGCAGTTGAAGACTATATCAAGTAATAAAGTATCGTGAGTGTACTACATGCGCATATTAAATACTGAAATTATATATTTCTTTGAATATTACACATTGAGTTGAGATATATATATATATATATATATATATATACAAAGGGGGTGTTTTCACTTTCCTTGCATGGAAGCTTTGGATATATTCTCTTGCACCATATCACCCTCCTACTGACCCACTACATTGTATTTTATTTTATGATAGAGACTAGATGATATTTACAGTGAGGCATTTCACTAAACTGAGGGAGAAAATTGGGAATTAACATCT